TGCTCGAGGTGCAAATTTGACTTTGGTTTTACATTGATGACCTTCCCACAAAAAGCACTGGAAATCTATTGATATCAAAGCACTATAGGGACAAGATATCATTTCAATAGTAGTATAATCATAGCAGTAATAGTAACAACTGATTCACATCAAGGTGATTGGGAAAAAATCAGTCCTTATAAGTTCCATAGTTAAACAAAAGTGGAAGGCATCGTATATGGAACAGAAAGAATACAAGGTCGGGACGGTTCAACGGTATTTTTGAGTTATAATCACCAGTGGAGACAGTCAGTAACCAGATCCTACAAAAACAAAACAGAAATACTAGGATTCCTGAATAGTACTTTTTTTCTTTGATTTTGTTTTTCCTTATATTTGAATTTGGCAAGTCCTCCTACCCTCCTGCTAGATTCCTCTACCAACAGAGTCACTGATGAATTCATGAGGTATGTTTAAACAAATTAACTGGAGAATTTACAGAAATGTGCAAAGGAATTCTGCAAAACAGCATTACTTCTACTGATGGGCACTCTGTCCACCTCCCATAATCAAAGTCCGATAGGAGAAATACAAACAATTAAAGTGAATAAATGTTTATCAATGCTCTTGCCCTTAAATCAGGCTGCACCCAATACTGCCTGAATTTCTTCCTGAAAAGCTGACTGCTACCCCACTTTCTGGGGAAAATTAACCATTTGGAAAAAAAAAGCCAACAGAAAAATTTCAGTGACCTGGATCTGAGAAGTTTTCTCAGCTGAGAATACTTAATGTCAAGCTATTATATACACTGTCAAGTGGGACTGGCAATGAGGACAGAGAAAATAAGAAATGGCACAGTCACCATCTTAAAAGCCAATTCTCAAATCCTTAAAACTGTCAAGACTTCTCACTTCACTCTCACTAGGAACAGGTGTTGCTCCTTTTGTGAAAGTGTAGTGCCTAACCACATCTTTCTGCATTTTCAAATTTTGGTTCACTATTTGATTTGAATTATTAGCTCTGCTGCTAACCTTCTTCATTCGTAATTCATTCCCTACTGACAAGGCTGAAGAAAAAAAACATTAAAAAAAGCTAGAGACTTACTGGTGTTTAGGACATTCAGCTTAGATACAGAAGAGTCAGGTTTGAAAAGCAAATCCTACAGTTATTTCATTATTTACAAAAGAAGATAGCTCTACCAGGAGAGACTACACAGTCAATGCAGACATTTATCACGATCTAGCTAAAGCAACTCCTTCCACAGCTTCATTATTCCTGCAAACCCAACTATTACCATGAGTAATTTTCTCTGCTTCTCATAAACTTCAAAGTGTACCTTTGGGCTCAAAAACAACAACTTCTGAACATTAAGCTGCAGTAGTGCTGCTACTTTACCCTTACATTGGCTTAAACGGGACCAGACTTCATCCCAAGATTGCAATTCTCGCTTCTTTTGCTTACATAATTGTTGCCAGCACAACTATATTAGCAAACACCATCACTGCAAGGTCCTAAAATAAACAAATCCTTCAACTTACCCTGAACTAATTTTTCCCAGGTCTTTCCAAGAAAAGGCAATCAGCTCCATCTGCTGCCAGATTTAGATTATTGATCACTGAGAACTGCACAAAACAAAGGGATTTCTTTTCCATTTCTTAAACATTTTACATGTATGCAAAAGGCAGAAGTCCAAACTGCTGCTATGTAGATACCTATCAAAGTGAAAGGCACCCCTCCTCTCCACAGGTCCATTAACACATCTCGTTACTGCCCTTAGCAGTACCAGTATCCATCCTTGGAACACCTGTCTTCAACTCAGAAGTAATTGATTGCATTTTGCCCTTGTTTGCTATGATAATTATAAACATAGAGGCCAAAGAGTCCTGAAGCTCGGGTGCCTAACAAGACTTAGCTATTTCAAATAGCTATGCAAAAATCCCTGGGGAGAAAAAAAAGAAAAAGAAAAAAAAAAAAAAGAAAGCAAGAAAGCCAGTCTACTAAATATTAACGTGCTCTCTCCATCTGACCCTGTAATAATGAAAATCCACCCACTAATTACACTGTAATAAGTTACAACAAATAATTTTAGAAATGGGTTATTGGCACCTCATGAGAAACAAATTCTCTTAATAAAGGTATATCTTCATTTAAAGAAAACATCTGACAGTGATTTTGAGGTTCCTAAATACATACTCATTATTGCTTCTTTTTTTGGTATGCATTGTTTGGGCTCATGAAATACTTCTAATGAATAGCCAGAACAGCAAAAAGATATGTAAAATGCCATTAAAATATATTTTAAAATAAGCATCTACAATTATAAAATTGTAAACCAGGCTTTCTGAACAAAATCTCGCAACATAAATAAAGCATACACTTGCATTAAAAGATTATAATCACTGAGGTGACCTGTGTAACTGACATATGGCTTACCTGCCTCCATGAAGCAATAAGAATTGGTATTAATAAAACCTTTTAAAAAAACAAACAAACAAAAAACCCCACAAACTTTATACCCTATTTCTTTTTATAGGCCTGATTCTGATATTATTTTTACAAGCGTATTTTCTTTTATCTTAATGAAGCAAAGCTAGATTTACACGGGAGTAATTCAAAACAGAGCAAGGACTGCGTGCCCATAAACAGAGCTCTCTTTATCCACTTTGGTGGGGCTTTGTTCATCTAAGCACAAGTACAAAATGCTTTAACAGCATGGTAGTTTAGTGGAAAAATAAAGCGTTCCAAAACACCTTGTGCTGCTTGTTACACTTCTGTTGTCCCTGAGCCAGTCATCAGAAGAGAGACTGACTTGTCTAACACCCTCGCCTCTTGAACAAGATAAATCAACACATCTACTTAGCCCATAGAAGGGGCAAATCCAGGAGAAATATGCTTTCTTCTCTTGATATGCTGTACAGAATGTTTAATCCACATCAATCTGGGATATATCTGTTTTCCCAATTTGTTCTTGTTTATTTATTTTAATTAAAGTAAAAAATTAAAACTGCATGATATGCAATCACCTTTCCAGAAGTCCTTTGCTGCCCTCATGTGTTTCACAGGAAAAGTAACTCTTGAAGTCTACATGCAAAATAAAATAACTTCTCCAAGCAAAACAACAGCTTCTCCTGTTACGAACAAGACACAGTCCATGGAAATAATAACTGAAAAAACCAACCAAACTTATCTCTTTTTTCTAGTAAAGTTAAGTTGACTGTTTTGGAATTTAATGACTATATATTATAAATAAGAAAATTTATTCAGTTTGAGATAATCAGAATTTCCAAGTGAAAGATTTCACAGCTAGCAGGACAATTTATTGGAAGTTGATGATCTTAGCCTGGTGGAAAATCTGAAATGCTTTTGTTTCAAAACTTACTTTTCATGAAAGCTAATTTTAGCATCTTTCTGCTGCTTACACTGACTGGCAAAGTAACTTCTTTCGTGTCCCATTATACTATACTATGCAGGGTAAAATCATGTGACTGTTGCATCAAGGCTTCCGCTACTCTCGTGATCAGAACATTCAAAGCTACAGTTCCTGTATCGAGCTTTCCTTTGACAGTCCCACCAGCCTCTGCCCTGCACTCCTCCCAAGGGTCTCGCCCTGACACAGACATTCTTAGCAGATACCCAGAGTCACAGCTTGATGGATTTTTGCACTCAGAATTGCAACTCAGAACTGCCTAGGTTCAGACCATCCTTAAAAAGGTTTCACCATTCACTTCTCACATTATTGTCTTCATCCTATCCAGTCCCCATGCTGATCCCAGATCTCATTACGTCAATACGAGCTTGTAATAAGTTGTAATAACATCTCTCATGCCGATCCTGGGTTTACAATGATAAAACATCAGAATAACCAATAAAACGTGCTCGACTAACACTTTGGCTTATTATAAGCCCTCCAAAATTGGTGATGCTTCATCCGATCTCCCAACAGCCACTCCACAGGAGGGAGAAGGCAAAAGCAGAGCTGGATCTTGACCCCCACAGGTTTGTTCAACCCTGGATACAAGGTATTGGGTGGGATCCAACCATAAACCTTTATTTATGCTACCAGGCTGATCCTGAACTCCCATGATTGTTTTAACATTGAAACAGCCACTATATGACTGCCTTTAAACTGCCTCGACTTTCGAGTAACGACAGTTTGTTAACTTCTCTCTTCACTAAAAAAATATGTAGAAATCCAGGCTATAAAGCTGAAAAATATATTTTTCTTTTCATCAAGAAAATCTACCTCTGCGATGTGTTGTGTAAATAAACACAAATGCTCCTTTATCAGTGGGAGGGACAGGAGGGAACTGCCCTCACCTCATGAATAAGGTACTGGCTTTTGTTCTCTCTTCCCCTGACAGATGAAAACTCTGGTATTGTAGTCTCACTCTAGATAAGCTTTTTGCCAAAAAAATAAATGGCAAATGCAGCATAAGTACTGCCAACATCAAAACACTTTTGCCATTCTAGTCACAGAAAACAGCAAAAAGCCTCTGTTTGTGAAGGGGGGAGAGGGGTGGGGGGGGCTGAATGCTTATGTAACACAGAGGACTCCGTAGTGCAGCTGATTAATGTTATTTACGTCCTTCTCCAGTCACCAACGGGGAGACGCCAGGCAGGAGCCAAGCACTGAAATTGCTGAAGAGAAAGAACTATGTCAACTTACACGCTTCCCCTTCCTAAAGCCTATAACCTGCATTTCTGCTGCCCCGAAGAAGCCGCCCCGCCTTCCCTCTCCCCCCGGCAGCCCGCCGTGCAGGTCCCCACTAACTTTCCCCTCAGTGAAGTCCCGGTGTTAACTTTTAAACTGGTAGATTAAGGCTCAGCACCTCTTCTCCCCCCGCCTTCCCCCACAGAAACGCTGCCAGGCACCCCCAAACACAGCCCCGCCGGCCACAGCACCCCCGAGGGCACCCACAATCACAGCCCCGAGGCCGGCGGGCGGGCACAGCCCCCGGGGGGCGGCCACTCCTTCACGCCCCGCCCCACCCCGCCCCGCTATGACATGGCGGCCAGGGGAGGGGCGGGGAATGGCGGCCCGGTAAGGAGCGGGCCCCGCTGCCTGTCGCAGCTATGGCGCGGCTCGGCGCTCGCCCCGGCCGGTCGATGGAGGTGCTGGCGCTTCTCTGCTGCCTGCTGCGGGCGGGCAGCACCGCCGCCCTCCTGGCGCCGGCAGGCACCCGGCTTGGGGAGGAGGGCGGCGGCAGCAGCGGTGGCCTGGGCCGCCCTCCGTGGGACGGAGACGGCCGGGAGAAGGTGGCCTGGGGCGCCCTCCGTGGGACGGAGACGGCCGGGAGAAAGAAACGGCGGCAGCAGCGCTCCGGGTAGGTGTCCCAGCCCGCACTTACACTCTCCATCCGCGCTACACACGAGTCCTGGCCGCGGGCTCCGCCGGCGGAGGGGTGCCGAGGTGCCGCTCTGCCGCCGCTCCCCGCCTGACCGGGGGTGAGAGGGGATGGAAGGTGGCGGCGCGCGCTGGGGCACCCCTCCCTGTCCCGCGCTCCTCCGGCCCGCGCGGGCTCCCCTCACGCGGCTGCGGCTGGGGAGTCGTTGCTTTTTTTTTGTTTTTCCTCCGTTTCCTCCGTTTCTGACGCCAGGTGTCAGCCTCGCACCGAGGGGGCTGCAACCCCCCCGGCCTGCCCGCCCCGGTGCTCCCCGGTGTTCCTGCCCGGCGAGGGCTGCCCGTCTGAGGGGGCAGCGGGGGGCTTCTCGTGGCTGAGAGGGCCGGTGCCGGCCGTGGGGTGCCAGCCCCCGGCCCTGCCTTGCCTGGCAGCCCAGCCTGCGCCCTCGGGGGTGGCGAGGAAAGTCTCCCCAAAGGCAGAAGGTGGCGTTAAGTTTTTGGTATTCCGTGTGGAGTTTTGTCAGCAGAAGAAGTTGAGGAGGTGGATGTCTGACTGTCTTGCTTTCATAGGTTAAAAACTATAAGCTAGGGTTTGTTTGGAGCGTGTCCCGAGGAGAGTCACCAAGCTGGTGAGGGGTCTGGAGAACAAGTCCTACGAGGAGAGGCTGAGGGAACTGGGCATGTTTAGTTTGGAGAAGAGGAGGCTGAGGGGAGAACCTCATTGCCCTCTACAACTACCTGAAGGAGGTTGTAGAGAGGTGGGTGTTGGCCTCTTCTCCCAAGTCTCCCAATGACAGGACCAGAGGAGATGGTCTGAAGTTGCAGCAGGGGAGACTCAGATTAGATATTGGAAAGAATGACTTTCCTGAGAGAGTGGTCAGGTACTGGAGCAGCCTGCCGAGGGAAGTGGTGGAGTTGCCATCCCTGGAGGTATTTAAGAAACATGTAGATGTGGCACTTCGGGGCATGTTCTAGTGCCTGAGATTGTTTGTTTGTGTCTGTTTGTGGGTGGGTGTGGTGTGTTTTTGTGTTCTGTTTGTTTGCTTTTGGTTGTTTTGTGATGGTCTCAAAGGTCCCTTCCGACCATGAATATTCTTTGATTCTGTTTTCATGTCTTCAGGCTGTGACACTGTTATTTTTTAATTTTTTTTGTTCTGTAAGGACATAAAGCAAGACAGGGTTAACTCTTGTCTGAAGATATTTTTATCTCTGAACCACAAGGTTTGTTGTGCTGTCAAAGAAGGGCATCAGATGAGTTTGACACAACTTGTTCTCAGCTTGCCTGTTTTGTCTGTCTTGTATCATCTTTTTACCCTCTGTGCACTGAACACTTTTTTCGTATCTTTCTTGGAGTTTCAATTAGTTTGATGGTTCTCATATTGGTTTGATAGAAATCCACAATGAATCTGAGGTGAACAGCGGTCTTGTTACCTAAGTTCCTGTTTACTGTTGCTAACCTCTTTTTCTGCTTTTAGGTTTTGTCACTACTGCTAAACAAATAATGTCCAAATTACTGTTTTTTCCTTCAGGAAAGTGCTAAAAGAATTAGATTACTGAATTCACCATCAAAAGATAATATGACTGCTTTCTATGGAATAAATCAGTTTTCTCACCTGTTTCCTGAAGAGTTCAAAGGTACATTTTTCTGGCTGCTGCTAATACCTTTTATGTAATTTTTCTTATTCTTTCCCAGAACCTTGTATCTTTCACATTTACAGATTCTTCCAGTGCGGGTAGTCAGCTAGTTTACAATGCCTGATACCAAACTGTAAGTACTTCTGAAGGATACAACAGTCCTCTTCATGTTTCTCTAGCCTTGCAAGATTGGATTGCCCAGAGCCTGAATTTGATTTAGTACACAGTGTCTTGTGGCTGCCATCTTCTTGCCTCTCTTCTCACTGGGCCTTAAAGACTTCTTCAGTTGCAACAGTTGTAAAATTGGAAAATACACAAGGTCTTGAGTACTCTAAGTTGCTATTCCCTATCCCAAGACAAACTCACTACAATCCAAACAATGCTCAGAAGTCCAAGGCTGTACAATGATAGCTATGACTTTCATGTGCAATATGACACACACTTTTTTTTTACTAAGGAAATATGATTGATACCTAACCTTCACTTCTTGCCATTAAAATTTGCTGTTATATGCTCTATTCATTGGGGAATTTCACACCTTTCTTAATTTTAAATAATTAAGCAGCTTATTTTAGTGAAAAACTAGCAGTTTGAGTATATTTCAGAATCTTTACATTATTCTCCTCTTATTTTTCCCCTTTTTCCTGATTAAAATAAAGTAATATTTTTCCAGTAAGTAAAATGTGAAAATTTTCAAACAAAACCTGTTGATGGAATAGTTGTTATACTCACATTCCCTGCATGAAATATTTCTGTTCTTTCTAGGACTGTGGGAATACCTACATTTATTCTGGAGTATAATGATTATTTTAAAATACATGAATTTTCTATGGATTTGACAATGAGACGTATTCCCGTGATTGTAACTGCAGATCAAAGTTACCTCTATAGCTTCTAGTGAAACAGTTGTTTGTGGTTTTTTGTTTGTTTGTTTTCGTTAGTAGATTTATAGATGTTTGTATTCTGTGTCTAGCTATTTACTTAAGAAGCATACCTCACAAACTTCCCAGATACATAAAAGTGCCAAAGGGAAAGGAAAAACCTTTGCCCAAGAAGTTTGACTGGAGGGACAAGAAAGTCATTGCAGAAGTGAGAAATCAGCAAACAGTAAGTCGTGGTGTTTTTCTTTCCTGGTTCTCAAGCACTGCTCAGAGGCTGTTCCAGCAGGTACGTGGTAGAGCACAGGGAAGGTTTTGGAAGAGACCAGCACTGCCTCAAGACTCCTTGGAGCACTGGCACATGTATGGCTGGTTGAACATGCACAAAGGCATATAGCGTTTTATGCAAAGTGGGATTAGACTTAAAAGCATGAGATGTAAAAGTTGTGCGCTTAGATATTGTGCAGTTATAAACTGTGTGTAATGCATTTTTTGATCTAGTTTACTAAAGCTGCAAATATTTTGCACCATGTGTATTTTGTGTTTTTCTGAAGAGATAGAGGTAAGTTCAGTACCTGACCTCATTCCCCTGTTCCACCTGGATGGGTGTAGATCCTTTGCTGTTGTTTTGTCATGACTGAATGCCCTTGCCTGGCCAACACCCATATCTTTACCATCAGACGACTCAGGGGATGTATTCGTGATAGGAAGCTAACCAGACCCCACGTGATTATAGTTTATCACAAAGTGGTTACGGTCTCTGGTAAGAAAGAAACAAGCTGTAACATCCCCAGTGTCTTTTCTGTGCTTCACATCGTGTAACCTGGACCTTGCCTAGGAATAAATTCTGCTTCCTATTTTAAATGTGTCAGTCTAAAGAATCTAGAACTGCAGTACAGGTTCTAATACTGTCTAAGAATTTTTGTATTACGTTTAATTTCAGTTTACTGTTTCTTAAACTGGAATCTAATGTATTTCTATAGAATTCTTCAGACTGTAGAAAGTTGTAGGCTGTCTCCTTAAGTGCATCCTTTTCAAAAACTTTCTAACTAATGTGGTTAAAAAATAATTTCATCCTGAGCCCCAATCCTTCTTTAAGAAAATAGGTATCTCACAGTAAAAAGCATCCTCAGACCTATCTTTAAAGGGCAAAATGAATCAGGAAGGAATCCCTAAATAAGACACCCATAACACGTTTATAGCTTTCAGAGAGCAGTACAGCAGAAAAAGCATTTCCGTATTTTAAATGGCTGATTAAATTTCTTTTATTATTGCCTTAAAAACGAAGTTCAAGGATGATGTAGTAAATGAAGAGCATTAGAATACCTTTTGGCTTTTTTTTTTTCCCTTTTCACATCAGGCTTCAAAAACAAAGGTGACTTTCTCTTTCTCCCCTGTTTCCCTTCTTTGTACCAGTGTGGAGGCTGCTGGGCTTTCAGCGTTGTGGGTGGCATAGAGTCTGCCTATGCAATTAAAGGAAATAACCTGGAGGAGCTCAGCGTACAGCAGGTTATTGACTGTTCATACAATAACTACGGCTGCAGCGGGGGATCCACTGTTAGTGCTTTGAGCTGGCTCAACCAGGTTTGAAACTTCATAGATCTTGAACTCTTCCTTAGCTTTCATATTAACTTTTTTTTAAACTGGGAAAAAGTGATGGGGAGGGTGGAGTGTACAGCTGATCTGATTTTTTTTCTTATGTAGGTGTATATATGTATGTATGCATATATGCGTGTGTGTATATGTGTATGTGTATTTATCTAGTCTGGAATTAAGAGAAAGCTTATCCAGGTTTACTGGGAAAAAATGATGGGGAAGGTGGAGTGTACTGCTGATCTGACTTTTTTCTTGTGTATATGTATGTATGCATATATATGTGTGTGTATATATGTATGTGTATTTAGTCTGGAATTAAGAGAAAGCTTATCCAGGCAGAATTGAAAGTTGATTGGAATTTTATAGTCTATATGTGTTCTTGTGAATGTAATGAATCAGCCCACAGGGGCTGAAAATAATGTTCCCTGAATGCTATGGTACTTCCACTGAATTCAATTGGAACTGCAAATGTACAGTACCAGTGTCATTTTGTGGATTTCAGTGTCCAGTTTAGGCACCAGCATCTGGGGAAAAGGACGAATGGTGAGATATTCGACTTTAAAATTTGTGGTTTCTGTTGCAAGCGCTGTAAAATCATAGAGGAGTGTGGAGAACCTCAGAAGAAATACCTTTGTTTTGCTTGCAGCCCAAAACAATGAAAATGTAGACAGTTTCTACTTTAGTTGGAGCTAACACATTTCATTCAGGGGAAATGCAAACTGTGTATTAATAATATATGCAAACAGGAACATTTTAATATCTTTGAAATAAAAAGTACTCTCTGGGATGACAAGTTTGATTTACAAGAATATAAAAAGATTTCTTTAGTTTTTTTAAGTTTTCAAAAAAAGCTGATTATCCTTTTCAAGAAACTCTGTAATCCGTGAAGATTCATGTAACCCGAGCTAATAACAGTCTAGATAACTTGTTTAAGTTTGCATTTCAAGAAAGAGGATATTAATCTGCATTCCTGTGAAGCAAAATTCCCTCTTGCATGGCAACAAATGAATTAGACTGGAGAAGACACTGTCATAAATGTACTATACTGCAGAAGACAAGAAATATAAAAGGTTGATGCAATAGCTTTATAGCTATACTTTGAACTCTGGCAACCATTATAATACATTATATACTGGCATAAGGATTTGATACTAATAGAAGAATTGGACTTAATTTCGGTATTTTATATATAACTGTTCTTGGGACAGTTCAAGAACCACAAATATCCCAAAGGGAGAATGATTTTGTGTATGGATGTCATTTGAAGAGAATGAATAGCCATTCATTAAATGAATGCATGATCTCTGTGTCTTGAAATTGATAGCTCATGAGGCTAGTTTAAACCAGAAATCTCTGTGTCTTTGATAGCTCATGAGGCTAGTTTAAACCAGAGATATCTTTCAAATTTTATTCATTATTTAAAGACTTCTGAATCCCTTCTGAAGCTTTTTCCACAAACAAGGAAACTGTAGATAGTATATAATTAGAATTGGGAATGTCATGTTGGGAAATCAATCGCGCCAAGAATGCAATGAATTTTAAGTGAGTTCTGTGGGCATTTTCAATGTGTTTTGATCTACATGGTGTTAAAGACAAATGCATTAAATTCTCATTCATTTATCTTTTTGCAGACAAAAGTAAAACTTGTGAGAGATTCAGAATACACTTTTAAAGCTCAGACAGGACTGTGCCATTATTTTGATCACTCAGATTTTGGAGTTTCAATAACAGGATTTGCTGCATATGACTTCAGGTAGCTCCTATTGATTCTTTTTTTATTATTTATTGTACTTTCCCTTCTGTTTTCACTTACTGTGGAGTAAGCTAGAGCCAATAGTGCATTGACCAACCAAAGGTTATGAGGCTGATTGCATCAGTTCTGTAGCTGTGTACTGGATAAGAATTAATACATTGTACTGAGTAGCTGTGTACTGGATAAGAATTAATACATAACATTACTTAGGGTTATGGCTTGCCACAGTGAATCCACTCAAGCCTGCCATCACTAAGCTTGATCAAATCAGAAAGCTTAAATCAGTGTCTTGCAATTAGGTCTTTTCAGTTGGCTGCGTTTCAGTTGGAATGTTGAGTCAGTTACAACTTTAAATATATGCCAAGTCCAGTTCCAGTCCCTGACTTAGCAAAGAGTGGTGTCAACTGAATTTTGTCAAGACAACTGGTAGTTTTTAAGGTTTCTGTACCAGGAAAGTGTTATTTTCAAATTTTTTATCAGTACAATACAGCTGCATACTGAACTTCAAGACAAGAAATATAATTTTGACTAGAATTGAATTACTGCCAGATACAAGTAACTAAAATTAATTGCAGCTTTACCAGTCTGCATTTGCCAAATTTAGTCATTGCACAAAAAGATTTCCTATTCCAGTATATTACATAAGTAAAACTGTATGAGAACGCTAATGGTAATGTTCATAGTAGTAATGTCCTGTGTTTTGATATGTTTGAGAAATTATACTTAATAGTACATAAAATACGTATGAGGTACGTCTGCATGTTTGAAAAACTAGTGGGAAATAATAATGGTTTATCCATTTTAAGTTGAGAAGAGTGATGTATAAAGGGTACATGGTGCTTGCCAGCACCCACTGACTTGATCCAGGAACCTGCTTCTTTTTAACAGAATCGTATCATTGGATCTACACCTTCTCCGTAGTCTATAGGCTCTGTATTTGTATTACTGTTATAGTATATGAAATACATATTTAATGATGTATGTTATGTGGTTTGTAGAACTCTTAGGACACAGTTGAATTATTTGATTTTTTAAATTGTACATAACAAGTAGATTAGCACCTCTCCAACTGCTTTAGTGTACTAACTTAAGCCACTTGGCACTGTCCCTTAATTCTTTCACAGTGGTCAGGAAGAAGAAATGATGAGGATGCTCATTAACTGGGGCCCTTTGGCAGTAACAGTCGATGCGGTTAGCTGGCAGGATTATCTTGGTGGGATCATACAATATCACTGCTCCAGTGGAAGAGCAAATCATGCTGTTCTAATCACTGGTTTTGACAGAACAGGTGCGTTTCCATCAATTGAACTTCAACCCAGTAGGTTTGGGGTTTTTTCTCTTATTTAAAACTTGTCTTCTGTGGAGCAGGTGATTAAAATCCAGAACTGTGTGTTCTATTGGGAGCTATTTGCTTTGGTGTCACATCAGTTCTGGAACTGCAGCCTGATCCCAGGAAGAAAAGCTCTTCTTGTCTGTGCTCCTTCAGTTCTGGGGCACTTCATATCCTTGTAAAGTCATGGACGTGGCTGTATGTGTCTTTACACTAGCAGAGGGCATGCCCAGTCTGTCCAACACTGGACTGTAAGCTCTGGGACTATGTGAACAGCAGTAGGCTTCTCTCTACTATATCATCAAACCATCAGAAAGTATGAGATACTAGAATGATAAATAACTCTGTAGAACGTTAGAAGTTTTTATGCTTCCCATATCTCGTGTTGTCTCTTGTTGACAAAAATGTCTCTTCCAGGTAGTATCCCTTACTGGATTGTACAGAACTCCTGGGGGCCTACATGGGGAATAGACGGCTATGTTCGTGTTAAGATAGGCAGCAATGTCTGTGGTAAGTCCAACAGAAAATAAAGTGGTAAAGGCTACATGCTGGGATATGTTTCTCCATGTAAGTAGTAATAATAATAATCCCAATATAATGGGATCTGCAGAGAGGAAATACAAATCATTGCTGTGTTTTAAAAGAGGCTCAGTGAGTTCAGGTGGAAAAGTAAATAAAGTGGTTGCTAGTTCAACCAAGCCATATAGTTGACTGAAAAGCACCATGCGATGGTAAAGCCATATTAAGGCATAACAATTAAAGTGCTCTTTGTACCTTACCATGTAGAGGTAATGGCATTGTAAAGTGTACAGTCATGTATCGTAGAATCGTATTATGCTTAGAGTTGGAAGGGGCAGAGATCATCAAGTTCCAACCCCCCTGCCACCAGCAGGGACGCTTCCCACTAGGCCAGGTTGCTCAGAGCCCCATCCAGCCTGGTCTTGAACACTTCCAGGGATGGGGCAGCCACAGCTGCTCTGGGCAACCTGTTCCAGTGTCTCACCACCCTCACAGTAAAGAATTTCTTTCTAATATCTAATCTAAATCTCCCCTTTCAGTTTAAAACCATTACCCCTCATCCTATCTCTACACTCCCTGATAAAGAGTCCCTCCTCATCTTTCTTCTAGGCCTCTTTTAGGTACTAGAAGGTCTCCCCAGAGCCTCTGTTTTCCAGGCTGAACAACCCCAACTCTCTCAGCCTGTCCTCACAGGAGAGGTGCTCAAGCCTTGTCATCTTTGTGGCCATCCTCTGGACTTGCTCCAATAGGTCCATATCCTTATGTTGGGGGCCCGAGAGCTGGACACAGTACTCCAGGTGGGATCTCTACCAGAGTGAAGTAGAGGGGCAGAGTCATGTCCCTGGACCTTCTGGCCATGCTTCTTTTTATGCAGCCCAGAATGTGGCTGGCTTTCTGGGCTGCCAGCGCACATTCCTGGCTCATGTTGAGCTTCTCATCCACCAACACACCCAAGTCCTTCTCTTCAGGACTGCTCTCAATACATTCTCTGCCCAGCCTTGATTTGTGCTTGGGGTTGCTGTGACCACAAGGCAGAACCTTGCACTTGGCCTGGTTGAACTTCATGAGGTTTGCACAGGCCACCTGTCCAGGTCCCTCTAGATAGCATCCCTTCCCTCCAGAGTGTTGATCACAGTTGTCACCAAACTTGCTGAGGGTGTACTTAGTCCCACTGTCCGTGTCGCTGACAAAGATGTTAAACAGCACTGATCCCAAAACTAACCCCCGAGGAACACCACTTGTCACTGGTCTCCATTTGAACATGAAGCTGTTGACCGCAACTCTGAGTGCAACCATCCAGCCAAATTCCTTATGCATCGAGCAGTCCATCCATCAAATCCATGTCTCCCAATTTAGAAAACAGGATGTCATACAGGACAGTGTCAAATGTTTTGCACAAGTCCAGGTAGTCATGGCCTCAGCTAGTGCTATCATAGTATGCTCTACGTAGAACAGCTGCTGTCCTTGTCTGGTGGATGCAATCATCTTTGGGCTCAGCTTAGCAAACAAATCTGGAAAATGGATCTGCCTGTGCTTGGGAATTGGGTACCCTGCTTGTGGCTTTTCTTGTAGGATGGAAGTATATACTTTTAGTGCTATTTTCTTTCCTACCCTGTTACTGTCCGCATGAGATTTTTCTTGGTGTCTGAGGGGATTTTGTGCCTAGTTTCTTCTGAGTTGCTGAAGATGGAGGTAAGGCAGATAAAGCTCCTGTTTACCAGCAAAGAATGCTGAGGCAAATTGCTGGGATTGGACTACTAGATAGTAAGTGGTGTGTTTCCATTGAATTTTTGTCTGTTTGATTTGTGCTTGGGGTTGCTGTGACCACAAGGCAGAACCTTGCACTTGGCCTGGTTGAACTTCATGAGGTTTGCACAGGCCACCTGTCCAGGTCCCTCTAGATAGCATCCCTTCCCTCCAGAGTGTTGATCACAGTTGTCACCAAACTTGCTGAGGGTGTACTTAGTCCCACTGTCCGTGTCGCTGACAAAGATGTTAAACAGCACTGATCCCAAAACTAACCCCCGAGGAACACCACTTGTCACTGGTCTCCATTTGAACATGAAGCTGTTGACCGCAACTCTGAGTGCAACCATCCAGCCAAATTCCTTATGCATCGAGCAGTCCATCCATCAAATCCATGTCTCCCAATTTAGAAAACAGGATGTCATACAGGACAGTGTCAAATGTTTTGCACAAGTCCAGGTAGTCATGGCCTCAGCTAGTGCTATCATAGTATGCTCTACGTAGAACAGCTGCTGTCCTTGTCTGGTGGATGCAATCATCTTTGGGCTCAGCTTAGCAAACAAATCTGGAAAATGGATCTGCCTGTGCTTGGGAATTGGGTACCCTGCTTGTGGCTTTTCTTGTAGGATGGAAGTATATACTTTTAGTGCTATTTTCTTTCCTACCCTGTTACTGTCCGCATGAGATTTTTCTTGGTGTCTGAGGGGATTTTGTGCCTAGTTTCTTCTGAGTTGCTGAAGATGGAGGTAAGGCAGATAAAGCTCCTGTTTACCAGCAAAGAATGCTGAGGCAAATTGCTGGGATTGGACTACTAGATAGTAAGTGGTGTGTTTCCATTGAATTTTTGTCTGTTAGAGTAACACTGTACGTCTTCTGTCGTCTTTCTGTTCCATGGATGTTTCACAGTAGCTCTCACAGTCATTGTAAAAGGTGTTAGATGATGTAAATCTTCTGCAAATAAGACTAGACAATATTCAGTTTGCCTGCACTCAGTAAATATCAGGACAATGTATCCAATCATAGCTTTTCCATGTTGCTGAAACTTTTTTCTTGTTGTATAAACAAACTATTTGGAAAGAGAAATTTAGTAGTGATAATTAAAGCAAGTCAAGCGTAGAGGTGGTCAGGAAGAACAGCAGTGTTATTTTCAAAATCCATTCTTTCAAAAGTAGCATCTTTCACATTTTCTGTAGTGTGTCACACAAAACCAATCCAGCAAAGGCCAGTATTGATCTTTCCCTGGCAAAAGTTGTCTTCTGATTTAGAGGTGTTCTGATACACTTTTGAGGGTAGAGCCATCACCCTTTGATACCTGCACAGGCTGGTGTCAGACTTTGCTTTTAGTGCTGGCAGGAGTACAACAATACATAAAGGACTGAGCATGAATAAAAAAGCCTAGTTTGCTCTGTGTGTGTGTATGAGCTTTCAGAAATGTGTCTTGTAATGGAATTTGTGATCTCTAGTCTCTTGGTGAGCTTTCAAAGCTACGTAGCTTTGTATTGTCTATTAAAGAATATGATATCAAGATTTAGATTAGATTGCTTTTCAGTACCCAGATTGCACCAATGCTGAAGCCTCAAAAAGGATCTGAAGTTTTGAAAAATGAAAGTAAAGGGGGGAGGAGTGTAGAGCACATCTATAAATAGTGTCGATCAAGGAAGAAGTAAAAGTATGAAAGGGTTGCAGCTGATTGCCTGCCCCAGCAATGACGCATGTCCATACTAGCATGGTGGGGAGGAGAGAAGACATCATATGAATGTGAATTCTGGGAACTAATTTCTGGCAAGTTTCCACTTCTGGTGTTTACTTAAAAATATTTTTTTGTTTCATTTTTAGGTATAGCAGATACTGTTTCATCGGTATTTGTTTGACCCTTACTGGTCAAAGGCAACAATAATCATTTGGATAATAGTTTGCTACACACTTTATGTGAAGATATACTTCAAAGCATTTCTAAATAAGAAATTACCCTTAAGGGCAATTCCTGCTTTTAGGCAGAGCAGGACTGTGTTGGCTGGAATTTTTAGAAGTGTTTTTATTTGGAAAGTGTGTTGCATATCAGATCTATCATGGAATAAGAAGACTCAACTTCTTTTTACATACTCTGCAGTTGATTCTATGAAGAGGGACTGAAACTGTGAACATGAACCCTGTCTGGGTGTTTGAATACTACTCCATAAAAAAAAATCAGGGAAAGAAGTGATGACAAGTAGTAAGGGATTTGGATTAAATAATCAATGATATGCGTATGACAGAATGCAATCAAAGTGCTTTGAATATAAGAAGAACCACAATTATGTCTGCTTATATTGCAGAGGAGGAATGGCAGTTGGAAGAAAATATTCCCTCTGTTTTGCTTTGATATCTGTCAGAGGTGCTAGAAAAGCCAAGATAAAAACACATACTTTTGTCTTACTCCTTTTTGTGAAGTCCTACTTTTTCTCTAAAGCTAGAATAATAGAAGAGAGGAATAGAGAGTCAAAGTTGTTTCCTGAACACACGCTCCCTCTGAAGTGCTGCAGTTCTCCACTATCAGTCTTCAGACCTTTATTGGGTAAATATAACTTCAGAGCAGGGACTGTATTTAGAAAGTGCCTGGAATATCAGTCTTCTGCATTAATTTGTTAAATGGATAGAAAAATAACAAGTAATTGTAGTTAGACAAACCAAGGTAGTTCCAGTGGTTTAACATCCTGTGTCCTGGCAGGATGCATGTTTTTGCAGATCAGCCTTTCCATGCTTTGAGACCTCTATCAGTTCCATGCCTTCTCTCTTCTGTACTTTACAATTAACAGTAAAGTCCATTGCGAAGCATAAATTAAAAACCTTATTCATTATACAAATTAACCATTTTTTCTATAATGAATAAGGTTTTTAATTTATGTAATGGTTTTTAGAATGGTTAATTTATATTTACCACCTCTAGAAAGTCAGCCATTACAGAATACTCCAAATGGAGGGGGTGTTAAATGTCCCTACATTAGTTGAATTCATAGGTGGGACTTGCTGGGAATCAAGAGGTGATTCCAGCCCTGCTGACCTGTAAAATTGCACTTGCAGACAAATGTAGCTAGAATTCACAACCAAACCTGTAAAATGCTCTGAACTTTCATCTGGAATGGTTTACCTCTATTCTTTCTGAAGCACTACCATGAAAAGTATTGAAGCAATATTGTAATTTTTGCATTCGATTACTGTATCATGTTTATAGATCAGTGTATTATTATCTTCTTATGACAAATGCAATCATAATTGCCTATTGTAAGTATTTTCATTTCAGGCCTTCTACTTTTAAGTGTTAATAATTTTATATGAAAGGAAGACCAAGTGCTATGTTTTACTACTTCATGTTCTACTGCTTACTGAATTTACTGGCTGAAAACTTCCAGTTAACAAAGAGGATATCTTCTCTAGTTTTACAGCTTTTCATAGTATGGCCTTCCCTTAGCAGTTTACAAACAAGAAGTAGAACACTTCCATAACTGGAAAATGATAGCTAAAGCTCCTAATTGGCACTGGTAGGAGTAATATTGTTCCAGCAGAATCAAACACAGATGTTCCACCAGTGTTTTTGAGGTGGTACCACCTGGAATAAGTACCTAAAGTGCTAAGATATAGAGCAACTCACCAGAAATGAAGGCCTAGGGTGTATTTCCAAGAGAAGTATTTAAACAGACGAGAATCCATCTACTGAGATTCCACACCTTTATCAGTATTATATGGCCAAATTTGCCTTGCTTTTATTAGATACCCACTTTATTCTTATTTCAATGATATTTTGAATAAAAAACACTTTAAATGCCTGTCATACTGTTGTTTGAACTTTCTGCTTGCTTTAGAAGACAACTAAAGATGAGCTTTAACACTGCTTTATTTGAAGGGCAAAGCAAGTACTTATTTGCTATTCTTCACAGTATTTCTACAGAAGGGATTTACATTCATATGTAACACATAGATGGCAACGTGATTCTTGATGGTAAAAGTTCAAGATGCTTGGGTTTCTACAGACTTACTTTTTTAAATCTAGCTTTTGAAACTCTTAACACAAAATTCCTTTTGAAATTCCAGTAACGCTCAGAAACTAATATCCTTCTGAAGGTGATGAGACTAATTATATCCTCAGCCAGAAGTAAATTAATAACAGCCAGTAGGCAAAGAAAAAAATATAAAAATATGTACAAATAAGACATGATCATGATAATTCTGTATAATTTGCTCCCTGTCTCTAGATGTAGGTTTTAAGAAGCCGACTAAGAGTTAAATTGGTCATTGAGCTGAATTGGGGAATCATTTTAGTCTTAATATAGAGAACTCAATACAGATTATTTTATCTATGAACAATTAAGTTTCTTCTATAAGCCTATGGAACTATTCACATAGCTGTCATACATAAATACATATTTACACACCCACCCCGTGTGAGAATAGCTGTTCTATTTGAGGCATAGCACCACTCAGGGTGAAAGTTCCTGAAGTTCGTTACAGCAGCCAGTCTAGAAAGGCAGGCTAGTCGGAGTCGTCGCTGCTGAAATAGGAGCTATCACAGTATTCTGCCGTGTAAAGGAATTTATGAATGGTTGGGTTCATCTTTGGTATCCAGTGTCTTGGCACTAGAAATGTTGAAAGATTGAACAAATCCACAAACACCTTGTATCTGTCACTGAAAAAGACAATTGGAACAATCAATACGGCGATGTCAGCATAGAAGGCATAATTTCAAGATCCTCAGGAATCATTCCATCTTCCATTTATCTAATTTTATAAATGGAATTATTTTCTTAATTAAGGTTTCTGCACTAACCCTCCTCCTGAATCTTCCTAAAAATCTAATCCTAACTGTTTCTGAGGCATAGCAGATTAGACTTAAAGGAAACATGGTTGCTATAGTCCACATCTTCCTTCTGCAAATGCAAGGTATGTAGGCTGTGATCTCCAGACCTCTGCTCTTGTGGTAAGTATGAAATAGAATTTATCTAGGAAGAATGTTAACCTGAAATTAAAGAAGAGCAAGAAGGCTTGCTGAAAAAGACAGTGAACATTTAATCTTCAAATTCAATCTAGCTGTCTGCTTTCTGTGACGATGGCTGTGATGGGAATCGTTGCCCGCAGTCAGCAGCTACGTGCGGTTTCTCTTTGAAAACTGTCCTCAAAGGCAGTCATCTTAGAAGATGATACTTTAAATAGCCTTTTTTGACATAATGTTGGTCAGGACATAGTTGCAGCTAAAAGGCTTGAATTGTCCAACTAGCTGAATCCTCACATTTGGTGTAAAAAGAGTTCTACCCCTTCAGAGAGTTCCATGCTCAGGCTCCAGCCACCCCTTTTAAGATCCTTTGTTGCTTCATCCAATAGAAGGAAGTATGTTTCTACTTGCTGTCTGCACAGCTGGAGAGTATTAAGTGCTATCAGGTCTAAGAGTGTATTCAAGCCTATATTGATTTACCATAGGTCATATGAGGTCATGTTAAGGAATAAGAAACTGTCATCAGTCACACAGTAGACGGGACTCACTCCCAGCCCGTAGCACTCATTAACTTGGGCTGAATTCCACACAGACTAAGCAGTGCTGGATTCATATTATTGCTATTACAGTAACACCTACATCCCTTGGCTGAGAATTGCAAATGGCACTTTGCATGAGTGACCGAAAGGAGTTCTTTTCACCTCAAAAGACTTAAAATGTATGTATGTCAACCTGATAAGTAAATGTACAACAGCCAGGAGGAAATGCTGGAGACACAGCAGCCCTGTGGCCTCCAATGAACTGTCTGAAATGGGTCTCCTGGCATCAGAGTATGCACAAACTGCATTATTGGAGGAAATGAGGGAAACGCATTATTGGTACCTGACTGTTGAGCGCAAATACTGGTAGCCTGATGAGCCCCCGGTGCCAGCCTTGCTGCCAATCATCCTGTGCACCATGCAGACGTGGTTATCTAAGGAACACAACAGAAGGACACGGTATATGTTCAGTGTCAAGATATAACCAAAGGGCCACATCAAGGCGCACCGCTGAAATACAGCAGATCCTCCAGAGATCTTTACAGAGATACCAAACTACTTGGTCTCAGCAATGCAGGAGTTAATTATGCCAGTCTTCAATCAACTAATATAAAATTATTGTTAATACAGAATGAATACACTAATTATTATACATTATTATGCTCAGTTAATACAGAATGAATACATTTGTTTATGGATGTCTAGATAGGGAAGGAACAGAAAGAATGTTTGCATATGAAGAGTCATCATGATGATGTTTTGGCAGACATTGGAAAATATATACCTGTCCCTTAAAATTGTTCGCCTAACTTAAAGCGTGTTATAGAAGTGATAGCTAGACCTATGTATCTAATGATCACAGAAGCAGCAGTTCATCTTTCCTCTTAGCCCAAGTACACAAAAATAAAAAGTCATTCCTAATGTACGAACTCAGAAGCTCAGTTCTAAAACCCTGGGTATAACTTGTCTCAAAGAGGGTGAAACAGAACAGTTTACTTGCATCTAAAAGAGGGAGCGTCACCATCAAAAAGTGAAACTTACATCTCCATTTGGTCATGAGCACATCCAGATCCATAAGGGAGGTAAGAAGCTGAAAGGGAACCTGAAAACGAGGCTCCTCCCTTGGAAAATGAAAGAAAAGACAGTGAGACCACTTATGATACGCTATATTTTTCAAAGTATCGCTTCACCAGTGCGTAACAGTGACCTAAGGTACATTTTTCCTAAATTGGTTTTGAAATGTCAATGTTCTAAGAAACGCTTCTGCCATGTAAGTCTCGATCTGTGCCTTTTCCCTCATACTTGGAAAAATAAATCATTCTAGGACACTTGGTAGAACAGTTTGAACAAGGCATTTGCTAGTTTCAATCTGAGGAGCGGTTTCTGGTCAGACGTAAAGCAGCTGCCCAGAGAAACCGTGTAACCTCCACTCACAAAGATATGCAAAACTCAACTGGACCCAGCCCTGAGCAGCCTGATCTGACCTTCAAGTTGGATCTGAGCTGGGTTTTCGTGGAGGGTTGGACTGGATTACTTTCCAAGGCTCATTCCAACCTAAATAAACCTGTGCTGCTGTCCTTAACCATCACCCCTCCTCCTGCCAGGAAGCATTAAAGATACATCTTCTAACATTACCTGTAGAAGTAGATCATTAAGGCACCCTTCAGTGCTTTATAAGACAGTCGTCTTTCTCCTGCAAAATACAAGTCTCCTTAGTTACTGAGTCTCCTGCAATTTTAATGCTATTATGTGATTACATGTATCATGTATAAAAAATAGGAAGTGCGTATTGGCATACATTAATACAACCTACCTTTACTAAGCAGATGTTCATGGCGTTTTTCATCAAATAAGGAAAGTAATACGTCTTTTTGCTTTTGGAATTCAGATAATAAGTCATCTTTTTCTTCTGATTCTGGTTTGGCCTTTAATATTTAAAAAAAAAAAAAAAAGTTTTAGAATTCAATAAGGAAAATTAAGCTCTTGAATTACCCATGATGTAAATTCTATTTTCATCATAAGGACTTTTTAAATTTACATCTCAAATGTAAGAACTGTATTTTCAAACAAAATAGATGAGTCACTGAGTCACTGTCCTTTAAAAAACACAATTGCCACAAAATGTAAATTAAATTGCTGTCAACAAAATTCAGATGAATGAGTCTTCAAACAAACTGGCAGCTTATCACTTTTCTTTAGGTCTAGAGGCCTTAAAAACACTTAATCTTGGTTTGAAGTCTGATTATTTTATTATTTTTTTCAAGGCAAAAAGAGGACATTCTTGCTCAGTTACGAGTAAGGAAATTGTAAATAAAAAAGTCTAGATAAATTAGAAAGTTGTAATCTGATATTCTCAGGAAGTTGATTAATTCTTATGTTATGGTGTTTTTTCCATTAGAAATGGAAAAAGCTACAAGTCTTACAATATTTGAGGATTTTCTTGTCCTTATTTGCCAGTGTAATTCAAATGATCACACAGCAGGAAATCGCCACATGCTGTTAAATAAAAATGGGCTGTTTATAGTGACACTCTGTACTCATAGCTCATGGACCCAGACGTGTGGAGTTTTACTCTGAACTGTAAATGCCAGTACTAACTAAAGATGAAGTTGTAGTTTTGGTAAAATCAATTTCAGCCCTTCCATTGATACAATCCCTTTCCTTTTGCAATCAAAATAATCCATGTATCACATGTTTTAAACCATTTTAGATGTTAAATTACACTTATTCAGATTTCCTGGAAAAATTTCCAATTTTTTCTGCTTCCTGCAGAGAGAGGCTGCTAAAGAATAAGTGAAGTCAGTGAGAAACTGTGAGAAGGCCAAAAGTCAAATTTATGTCAGGCTGTCATTTTGCCAGGTGTCTTTGCTTATAGGTAGATCAAAAGCACATTATATACCTGCACCAGGGCAAATTCCTCTTCTAGACCTTTTGAAACATTCACTTCAAATTGTCCCCAGAAATCAAATCCTTCTGCGTCGAGTCCTGGAGTTCTTTCCAGCCATGCCTTTAATAATAACAATAATGTGTTCCAACATTAACAACACAAGGGCATTACCCCAGAATTACAAGTTCTAGCAACATAAATTTTACTGCTAGGGTTGTTCTGGTTTAATATCCCATAGAGGTGCTTATAGCTGGAGTAAGCATGTCCATGCAGATGATTTATACCTGCGTAATGGTGCTGTGCAAACACACCTACAGGCCCCAGGTTAAATGACCAGTGCTGGAAAACAAAAGCTGTCTGATTCTAAGAGTAGCTTTAAAACCAACTCCCTTGTAGATACAGGAAAACAATCTTATTAGACATTTATAGGATAATTGTAAAGATAAATCTCAGAAGGAAGATATAGAATCATCTCTACAACCCGTTTTTATCATGCTAGACAGGCTGAATAGCAATTAAGCAGTCTGTGATTAATTTTCATCACAACATGTGATGATACAAGACACAAATTTACTTGTCATTTAGCAAAGCTTTCCCTTTGGTTTCCTTTTAATAATAGGAATGAAATTAAGGGCGGAGGTGGGGGGGAAGATTAGGAGTCTTTACGGTCAAACTGCCTTTAGAGTTCACTTAATTTAGCTCCTCATCTGAAATTTCTTATATTCTGTATCAGGTGTCACTAGACACATGGATACAGCTAATAAGAGTGGATGCTTTTACTGAGGTTTATACTGCATTATTCTTTAGAAAGTTATCTTAATTTTCTGTATGAAAATGACAAGGCAGCTAGAGAAATTACTGAGAGTCATTCGTAACTTTAAGAAAAAGTCATTTAATCAAGGTAAGTGATAATGAAACATTTGTTAAACATCTTTTCTCCTTTCCATTTTGAGTTGTCATTTTTCATTTTCTTTTTTTAACCTCTCTAGTAGCCATCAGTAACAGTAGAAATATTTTTGAAGTTCTTTTCTAAAAAGGGTTTATGGTCATGAAAAACGATTTGAATGAAACAGAACATTTATATTCTGAGCTCATATTTTCACAATGCAATTTCCTAGTTTAACAGTCAGACTTGTCAGACAAGAGGAAATGCTCTGAAAAATCAGTTGGTTTACTAATGACTAAGTCCCTCTCATGCAAAATTTGGTAAGAATCCAAAACATAACTGACTGCTAAATTGCCAGCATGCTTGCTTCTCTCAAGGAAGAAGAATTTGTCACTGACACCAATGAAGGACATTCTAGGAGACGGGAAAAGAAAGCAAGGTGCAAGACAGCCATTGTTGGTTGTCATTTTTCATTTTCTTTTTTTTAAGCTCTCTAGTAGCCATCAGTAACAGTGGAAATATTTTTGAAGTTCTTTTCTAAAAAGGGTTTATGGTCATGAAAAACGATTTGAATGAAACAGAACATTTATATTCTGAGCTCATATTTTCACAATGCAATTTCCTAGTTTAACAGTCAGACTTGTCAGACAAGAGGAAATGCTCTGAAAAATCAGTTGGTTTACTAATGACTAAGTCCCTCTCATGCAAAATTTGGTAAGAATCCAAAACATAACTGACTGCTAAATTGCCAGCATGCTTGCTTCTCTCAAGGAAGAAGAATTTGTCACTGACACCAATGAAGGACATTCTAGGAGACGGGAAAACAAAGCAAGGTGCAAGACAGCCATTGTTACCTCCACCAGTTGCAGTAGCGTTGGTTCTTGCTCTGATTTAAGCAGTAGTTCATAATCCTGTCCCTTGAAGTTATCACGATAATGCCTTCTGTTATAGGGGACTCTCAGACTTTGGGGAACACCAATTTTGTTCTCTAGCAAGCGAAACTGCAGGCTCTGAAAACCTGAGGCTGGACTTAGGTAGTATCTTTGGGAAGAGAAGAAAAGATACACAAATATGGGATATTATTTTACAATGACAGGGTTCTCCAGTTCTCAACAAAATAATAAAAAAATACATATTTCACATTTGGAGAATAGCAAATAGATATATGCACATTTTTTATGATTGCAATTAAGAAAAAAAGCCGAGCGGTTTTAATGCAGCTAGAATGGATGTATAACGTACTCTAATTTTCTAGCTATATAGTGTTGGTGCATACACATATAGGCATAATTATGTTTATGCTGTGTTTTAAAATGGTAGCTTTGTGTATGTGATGTACAGCAGAAAACATGTCCTTTCCAGACAGAATAAGCAGCTTCACCCCAAACAGCTATTACAAAAATTTCCCCTTTGTTAAAGTGAAAATGAATGCATTTTAAATAGGATTGTTATACAGAATAATTGCTATGCATACAATAGAACAATGTTTAGAAAAACATTTAGTGGGTTTCATTGGAGGGATTCATTAATGGGATTCTTTCAGAGCTAAATAGTGTGACCATGCTGAAAAAAATAATTTAATAAAAGTAATCTAAAATCCCGCATTGCTGTATAATTGTAATGGTCTTTGATTTGCAAGTGTAAGATTTGGCAGAAACAGATAATTGATTTGATCTTACATTTACTTATCAAATGACAGTATGCTGTTGAAAAGCAGAAGCAAGAATGCACCAAGACAGAGGATTAAGCCTTGGATTTGCCCTGCTGCTGTGTAATGCTAGACGATGCAGATGTTTCAGACTTCCTAAAGAAGTAAAATCGTAGTTTCATGCGCTTTTTAGTTAGGGAATATTAAAAGATAGAAATGAAAGGGTACTAAAACAATGCAGAAGTGGATGGGATGCTGGGCGGCACTGAGGTCACAAATCAGATAGGTCAGGGACACAATCAGAACAAGAACAGGAAGGCAGGCAGTGGATGAAGCTCTCACACACGGTAGTGTAGTAGAAGGTCATGGCTGAAGTGAGGGAAGAGATAGAAATGCCATGGGAGAGGTGAGGCAAGCCAAGGCATCCCAAAGAAAGCCTGGGCAGAAGAGCTACCAACTACCATCCCAGCAATACATTGTGGAGCTACTGGAGAGCAGCAGTTACTGGGGAGAAAGAAGAAGAGTCAGCAATGCTTCCTTCATCCACTTGAACCCTGCAGACCCACTGAAAACATGATGCGAGGAAACACTGTGCAAACCAAGAGAACTGAAATACCTATTCGATAATCTAGGGAGAGTGCACTTCTCTCACTCAAGCGCTTCTATCATTTTCCATAGAACATGGCTGCAACTGCACAGAGGTAAGTTTCAAGTAAATTGTTCATGGAACCATGAGCTATTTCTATTGTTTCAACTTTTTACTCTGAAACTGTTCGCCAGCACCAGTAATAAACATCAACAATTCACTTGTACCATTGCAGAGCATGCTAGACTCACACTCAATCTCAACTTCTTAATTGACCCTTGCACTCTAGGGTTACTGTTGTCTCTCTAAGGTGGGCTCTCAGCTTGCTGAATGGTGCATGTACTACAAGCTGCCAGGGCACATGCAAAACTCACAATCAGTTCTAAGGATGGGAATTATCAGTTCATGGATTGCTGTGGAGGAATACAATACCTGAAATCAAAGAAGTCCAATGCAGTCATAGTTTCTAGAACTGAGAACTGTTCCACAAGTAGTTTCAGAATCATTGAAATTCTGTTCATTCGAGTAATAACCTTCAGCATGTTCCTCTCATCTCTCACCTGTAGAAAAAATAAAGACCATAAGCAGACAGAATTGTGTTATGTTTATACTCTACCTATTTACTTCAGGACTTTTCACTGTTGTACGTCACTATAGTTCCCAAGTCCTTTCCATGTGAAACCCATAGCAGCAGAATCTCATATCAAAGAGAGACCCCTGTTTTTAAGTGAAACTACAATCTTCAAAGATCAAAACCCGTTTTTCTCTGAATGATGATATATTGCAACTAGGCCAAATATATAGGATTCTTTTTTTCTTTTCTACATTTTTGACTGAAATAGAAGTCACCACAAGAAATTAAATTCTACACCAAAATAATTTATATCATGATCAGTTTCAATGATTACAATGCTATTTTCAATGATATTTGATATAATTTGATAATTATATCAAATTATATATTATATCAAATTATATATTATAATTTGATAATACTTTCTATTCAAATCACTTCTATAATCATTTCTACTACTGTGAAGGAAGAAGCCATAAAGCAGGTTGAGAAGCGGTATAATCTGAGAGGTATGTCAGGAGAGCACATCTAAGAAGATGTTCATCAGAGACGTGCATTTGCAAGCAGAGAAAAACAGAGAACACTACACCTGGTGGGAAATCAAAAATATTAAATGGAGAAATCAGAAGCTCTCTTCTGGCTAAGTTGAACACTTGCCTGCAGAGGATTCTGCTAAAATTCCTACTAGCTTCAATGGAATCAAGTTTCTCTCTAAGATGAGGGCACACAACCAGCAAATATCAAACTACAAAAATGAAAGATTATAACCATTTCCTTAATTGTTTTGCTTTCTACTTAACCTTAGCATTGGCATTTCAAATTCTGATTATCTGCAAAGTTTCAATTTTCGCAAAAATAAATAATGAAAAATTATTCTACTTAGGAATAACTTATTTTGATCTGTTATTTGATATAATGTTCAATTAAAAAGCCAACAACATAATGAAAGCAGAGGACAACAAAGAACATTTTCATTGGACATTATGATAAAAAAGGTCCTTCTTTCAGTCTGGTCTACCTTTAAATTTTCTTCACATACAAATGCTTATTATGTTATTCAAGGTATTTCTCACATTACGTGCAGTCAGCCTTTATTTTGTGGATGTAGTATCAGATTTTCCTTTGTTATCTGTTGTTATGAGATGTTTTTAGCTTTGGGAAAATGTTTAGTGATGTTCCAAATATTCCTATTATATTTGTAATTTTCAGAAATTGTACATGGTGATTTTGATTATTGCTTTTCTGTTGGATTTCATAATAGACAAATACCAAAAAGACTTTTCCTTTCATATAGCAGGTATTGGATGGAAGGATACAGTACGTAAACTCCAAAAAGTTGAACAAAAAAGTTCAGCAAGAGTGACTTTTCAGCATCAAAATATCTGTTAGCGCTCTGTTTTTCAGTTTTGCCTCTGAGCATGCTTTTTCTGCAAGTTAAGTTTCTGCAGTTATCAGTATCTGCATTTTTCCAGATGAAATGTATGTACTATCAGGATATAAGAGGCACTCAGCCAAATTTCGATGTTATGTTTGGGTTTTTTAATGCTGTTTTCAAAAAAATAGCACATGTTCCTTCAGTAAACCCAAATATCTCAGGCTGAAAGGCAGGAGGCAAGAGAAAGAGAGGGCTGCATTTTCCCAAAATTAAAAGCTGCTCTTAACTTACGTGGCCATTTTGAAAGATCTCCCGCACAGAGTCCATTTCCCACAGAATCTGCTTAAACCAAAGTTCATAAGCTACAACAAGAAAGGCATTGTTAGCATTAGCTTCAGCATTACTTCGTTTTTTCTTCATAGTACTGAAAAAGTAAAACTTACATTTTGATTTTAAATCAGTAGCCTACATTTGCACTGCTGGTGTATAAAAAGATGCTGATACACAAATGAATGACCTGTTCCAGTATGCTGTCATTTACCTATACTGTGACATGAAATAATCTAATGTTGAGAATGTTGTCGGGTTTTTTTAAAGCATGTCTTACCGTTATTTGATGTACAGAATGTTCACTATTATTTAAAGCATACCGTTATTTGATGTACAGAATGTTCACTACAAAAGTAGGAAAGAAAATCTAGATGTGACTCCCCAGAACTGCTTACAACCTATACATCAACTACAAGTTTACTACCAATAACAGGAAAATATCATCAGGCCAGTGCCTGCAAAACATGTGGATATTTACAGTTAGGGAGCACTGCATCACTATGTTGTCTTCTAGACAGACTCTGGGTAGTTAAAGCTTGACTGAAGTTTCAGAGAAGGCATAAGCCAACACACAAAATTTGGCTTCAATAAATCACATAGCAACGTGCCACTAAGACAGGGAATGTGCTTCACCACCTTAATTTCTCTAGAAACAGAACCATCAAAATCTTGGTTTGCCAAATCCAAAGGTTATACTTATGGCTTCATAAGCATAGCGTTGATTGCAGCCTTAAAATCAGATAGGGATATATACAAACATAAATGCAGATAAAAGACAGTGCAATTGCAGGGATTGTGTCTAAAATGACACACTTTTTGTATGGCTTGTTTGAGGACTTAATAATTCTCTGTGGCAAAAATGCTTGTCAACCACCCCTGAACTTCTCCCAGCCACTTACCTTGATGCGTCACAATGAAAAGATGTTCATCATGGATTTTGTTTCCTTTCTTCTCACTCTGAAGTTCTTGAGCATTCAATATTTTGTTCAGCTTAAAAATAAAGATAGGCCTGTTATTTAAAGTTCTCGATTCTGGCATTAGCAATGGTAGTCCTACTGTGTAGAGCTAATATGTAAGGAATATTTTTTTTAAAAAATGTACATATATAGGCCTTGTATTCCAGGCTGTATGAGAAGTTAGATTGAATGGTCTCAGGTGTAATTTTTACTTTTTAATTAAAAAAAAACCAGTCTTGCCTAAAATGAAAAGTTTAGATACCTCAAGTAATAAAGTCTGGAAAATCATTTTAAGGATATTTTCAATTCTAAAACTGAGAAAAAAAAATATCCAGCATGTTTTCCATATCTTAATCTATACTGTTGTGTTCCATAAAACCAAGTTCCTATATTAAAATTGTGTAATCATACAATAACATCTACACAAGAACTCTGATTTGAGTCTATACTAGTTATTTCATGTCTAGCATTACTAATTGTTTTACTGAGTCAAATTTACAATCTAATCACAGTTGTTTTAAAAGAAATCTTCGCAAGATTTCATGTAATTTGGCAACAAATCAGTCTTCTCTTCACGAGCACAGAGTAATTCTACTCACTTCAATTCATGCTGTCACCAAAAAAATATGTCTGGATTCTTTTATTACTTATGGCATTTTATTTTTACTTCTCTCTTAATTACTTCTAGTTGTTACAGGGTAGGTTTTTTTGGGTTTTTTTTTGTGACCCTCCTTAGTCAACACTCCACCCCCTAGATTTCCGCAATATATTTTTCCTGCCAAATATTCTGGGCTTTCACGCAATAATTTGGGGAAGTCGCACATGGCCTGCTGACATGGAGAAATCATCAAGCATTGACTGCCAGACCAAAGAAAGCCTTTTGTGGTGCACCACTTTATAGTTTAGGTTTACCAATATAAATCCCTCCCAAAATCTCCCAAATATCCAGCTTCCCAGCAGTTTCAGAAGCCATCCCACGGTCCACCTGCACCACCACAGTTGAGATGGGCATCTGTGCCTGTGAGTACATGTGGTGAGCTCAGGTAGATGAAGGGCTCTTGGAGTCCTTAGTGACTGGCTGACTGCTGGGAGAAGCGTCAATCACAGGTCCTCGCTCAAGTCTTAAGAGAGACCATGGCAGTAAACATGAAATCCTTAAACTTACTTGTAGGTAATCTCCATAGACAAGTCCACCTCTGCTGGCTTTATTTATCCCTTCTTGTGATTTATCATCTTTTTCATCTTCCAAAGAGAGCTTTCTAAACCTAAGAGGAAAATGAAGTGAACATGTAAGTTATTTAATTAAAGAGCTATGAATATACCTGCCTTTTTGCTAACAGGTGCATCTACAATTCAAATAATGCTTTGTTTGGAGAAAATGAACCACTAAAGCAGTCTTTTGAGAAAAACAGTACACTTGAAATACACCTTGTCACAGTAACAGCCAGTAGCATTGCATCTAGTTCATTAAATAAGAAGTGCTCAGACAAGTTAAATCTCATTTCCTTTAGTGATAGCTACAGCTGTCTATCTAATTTCTCTCTGAGCTTTCATATTTTATGTTAACATTCTAGCACTTGAACTAACGTTATGTAGAAAAACACAGGAATGAGGGACTCACACGTAGTTGTTCCCCGCGAAGGGGCACCCGCTCATGATTCCAGGATCCGAACGTACTGAGCTGCGTGGCCAGGGAATATACTCCGTTAGTGTTCCCAAAACTGCTGCAGTTGCCTTATATGTAACCTTATCTCACCGCCTGGGCCAACCCCCAAATTCTCTTCCTTAGCCCTCAGCCCATCCCCGCTATTCAATAATTACAGAAACCATCACAGCACAAAGGTCAATAAGTCCATGCGCTGTTGGCTCTCCAGGTTTTGGGTTGTTTTTTGTTCAATCAGTCAAAACAGGAATGGCTGACATACTTGCTTTGTTCTATGGCACACACCTTTTTTGCTTTTCACTGCAACGTTTCCACCAGCTGCTTTTTTGTGGACCAAGGCTGATGCAAAGGGTAAATCAATAAGAGGCCTGTATCTGAGAAAAAGGCCATATTTCACAAATGCAACAATTGTTAAAGTAGGTCTTTAAGTTTCAGCGCTTTGTATCAAGATAGCAACATACTTTAAGTTTTAAAAGTGAAACTTACGGAAAACGAAAGAGGAGGGGAAGGTAAAGAGAATGTATTTCTATGGCAGACTGAATAAAGCTTGTAAGAGATCTCAAGTAACACACATACTTTCAAGAAATGCGCACAGATTAAGTACACATTAAGTACACACATACACCTCATGCCATTTTTTTCCAGTGGGTTAATTCATGAAAATTTCCTAATTTTATTTCCTCACACAAAAGTTTCACTCTCATTTGTTGACAGATGTTACCCAACTCTGTTTAATCATCAGCTTAACATGTAACTAGTGTGCACTGCTTTCCTGCTTGCCAGCCTTTTCTGAAAAAAAAGTTAATATTCAGTTTTACTGCAAACAAAGCTACAGGGCCCCTATGACCCCAGAGCACTTTCTCTCTGCAAGACTTACACTGCTTACTGGCATCTGTGTGGTAGTTTCAGCTGTTCTAGTCACTTAAGAGTAGTCGGCTCATAAAAAAAGTCGTACGCAGTACCTGGGTGATGGGATGTGTACTCTTCTAAGCCAGATGTCAGATGTCAGTCTATACAAATATTAGTTTAAAAATAAGCTGAGCCGCAAGAAAAGTAGGACTCCACTGAGGCAACCCATTGGCAAGGTCAAGGTGTTCTTTCCTTCATGCTGTAAAACCTGACAGAGTAAAATAATTCTCTCATCACACACATCTATACATCTGCTTAGGATGCAGGCAAGTAGAGATGAAGGTGAAGAGTGGGGGCACATACATGTTGAAAACTGTGCTTTTCACCATTCCATTTGCACTCAAACAACTTGATTAAAAATGTATAATATAAACTCTCACATTCACAGATCTTAAAGACATGGAAAAGGAATGTTTACCTTGTCATTTCTAGACACCTTCACCTGAAACATCCAGATTGAGCCTCCACAGTGAAATCAAACTTTCTGTTGCCTTTTCTTATGGCACAAGCAAAGAGTGTGAACCTACTAAATATAGGGACAGTTGAAGAATATTGAACTCTTAACCTCACCAAAGAAGTTACTGTCTGTTTTCTTGTGCACTTTTATTTTCTTCTGTGGCACACAGAGAATAATAAACTTCCAGAGCAATGGTCTCTGTCGTTCAGCCTTTGTATTGTCTACCCAGTAGGCAAAGGACTTTGAAGTCTCAAAGCCCTTTTAAACTATGCTTAACAAAACATTAACTACCCATTTAGGAAGTAATACTACCTGTAATTGGTTCAGCATTGCCAAATTCTCTCAAAATTTGAAGATACTATACAATTTCCCGTTCTGATTCTGCAACAGACAAGCTTCAGTCAAATAAATCATCCAGTCTACAACAATTTAGAAAGCTATTTCCAGCATTTCCAACACATTCAAACCCTCTGTTTAGGGACCTCATAGCTGATTGGTCCCAAAGCATCTCCATCCCAAAAAACACCAGCTTAGCAACACTTGTGAAACTTGACAATCCAACTAGAACACATCGCTCTTGTTTGATGACCATGTTCACTTTCTCCTGTTAAATTCTCTTGCACTGCTGCATTTAGAAAGCTTGGTTACACCCAGGACTCTACTGCTGAGAGCACATTCCCAAGGGTCTCCAATTCCTTTATCACCAATATCTGCCTTTCCATCAGTGCCTCTTGTATTTCACTAGCCTTATGACATACATGAGAGGATTCAAAAATATAATTCTCCAAATCATCAGAAAATGGCAAAGACGTTGAAAAAAAAAACAACCCACAAATATTTTGTTTCAAGCTCACAAGTGGGCAGCAAACACATTCCTCTAGCCATGTTTGTACAACATTACACTTTGATTTAAAATAAGAAACAAAAGTATCTTTTGTAGTGCTGTCAATACATGAAACACTTTTCAAAATATTCACTCAGAAGGTCCTAGAAAAACCCCAATGATTTAACAATGCAAAAAAAAGAGATGGTAAGCTCAAGTTCTGCATTTTTATGAGAAGCAAAAAACAAATGTGAGTTTAGGAAAAAAAGAATACATTGTAAATTTGTTTTAAAATGTTGGAAGTGGCCTCATGTTAAATTCTTGAGCAAAAGCCTTATCTCTCCCCTGCCCTGCCTCAAAAACAAGCAAAAAAAATGACACCCCTGTATTCATGTCTTACAGAGAGAAGCAAAAACAAGCAAAAAAATACAGGAAAGCTTTGTAGATTGACCATTTCCTGAAAAGCTGGGTAATATGGATAATATTATCCTTGCACCCATTCTTTTAAGGAAATTTAATCTCATGCTAGCTGAGTTCTGCTCCCTATTCAACTACAACAGACCTCAAACTGTCCAAGATCATTGGAAAAGATAAATTAATGAGGACTTGAAACCCCCAAAATAAACCCATAGACAATCATTCATCTTACTGCCTACCTTTGTGTGATTTCAGTAAGGCTTAACAAGCGTGTAATGACTTTGGTACTAAAAAAAATTTTTAAAAAGTGACTTGTACTACCTGGTTATGAAATTGTCTGTTGGCAGTGTAGGTGATAGCACAGACTTAAAGAGCCCTTAGGTTTGGTTCAACTCAGAGCCATCACCTCTGGTTTGGCTGCAGACACCCTTAGAAATAAATGTGCTTCTGCCATGCTTCTCAAATTTGGTGCTCATCGTAGGGACCTGATTTTCCTTTGAGTGGCTTGAATGGCTTTTATGTCCTGAAAAAAGATTTTACAGCTACTTTGCCATCTCTTTATACTAGCATAATCATAAATGAGCCTTGATGAAAAAGCTCTTCCATGTGAATATATCTGAAAGCAAAACATAACCTTAATTTTAGTTGATGGTATTACTTTTTTTCTTAAAATGCACCATCATTTCCCTTTTTCATGCTGAATGCTCAGAACCACATAGGAGCAGATGTAACCACACACAGTTTGTTGTTTGTGCCGTAGACGGCTGAGCAAGGCTAAGAAAACCAACAGTTTGTGCATGCCCTTGAACTTTTATTTATTTATTTACTTTTAATGCTTGAAAATCAGACAGAGAGACTTCTGTTCATCCCAGAACCATATCAGAGGACTCTAACCTTCAGCAGAGTGAGAACATTCTGCTTTGTGACTGTGCCGAATACAAGGCAAACAACAGAAAAAAAAACATAGCTTTTGAGAACTGCACTTTGTGGCCTTCAAACAACCATGGTCTTCATGACCAAGCACAGGAATTGTTAGGCACCCTTCTTAATCCACCCTCATCCTGTTATATTGTTTACCTCTCCTTTCCCAGTTGTTGACATGGGGTGCTGGTCTAACTTTGCTCATCTTGGCTGCAACAAGGTTGCAGAGCAGAGACAAGCTGAACTTGGACAGAAAAAGTGATTTGTAAGGGCAACAAGGGGAGTGTCCTTCTAGCCTGGCCAAGTGGAGGTTTCCTGTAAGGCAGAGGTGGCCTGTAGCATATTTTGTAGATGTAGCTGGAGCCAAGAGTTTGCACGTTCTTATTGTGTGGGGCTCTCCATCTAAAACACCGGTCCGATGAGGACAGGTAAGTAAGGATGATCTCCTATGTAGTGTCAAGAATCCAACAAGAGTCTTCTCTCCTGCTGAATTAGAAATGACCTGGTCGCCCAAGCCAAATCTCAAGTTACCCTATATGAAATCACTTATGGAGAAGAAAAAATGAACACACAAATGGTTTGGAGAGTGTCACCTATTCTTCTGCTCAAACTTTCATTCCGATTACAAAATCACCACAGATCAATTTGTTTTTCCAATGTTCATTAACTTGAACAAAAAGCTTGGAGACCTTCTGGTTACAAACAAGTGACGCTCGAAGCTTCCCAACACTGTTATCCCAGAATTACAGACTAGGAGTTATTCAGCACAGATGGTTTCTACCTACATAACAGTGGCTGCAGTGAATTGGATAAAAGATCCAAGTAGGTCATGCCATCCAGAAGAGCTTCTAGGAGAAAGTAGAAGATATCTTGGGAAGAGCTATTAGAACAAAACAATCAAACATCAAAAAACAAAACAAGAAACAAACTCAAAAAAACAACCCCTAAAAAGCAAGCTTGCAGTGAGGTGATTTCCCCAGTGTCTCCATCTAACTTTCCAATGTTGATAGTCCAGGACCTCCTACGACACCTGTACCTTTGCATTTAATAACCCTTGTCTGTGAATCCACAGCCTGCAGCAATGAGTTTCATAACTGAAGCCTATATGATGTGAAAGAGCATTACCCTGTGCTAGTTTCAAACTTCTGCCAAGCAATCACGTAATTTTAATTTCCATTTGATACTAAGTCATGGCTTGTGAGGTTATGAAAAATAACTGTACTATACCATTATAGTACTATACCATTATGGTCCCAGTCACCCTTTTCTGCACTTGTGCAGATTCTTTTGTGACCTTTTCGAGATGAAACATTCAAAATGGGGGTTGGACTGTTCTCTTAAAGAGATCTTAGAGATCCCTTCCAACCCAGATGATTCTATGATTCTATAAAAGGCAAATATCTTTTTGATTTATGGATGTGAGGATAGTTATTTCCATAAAATTACAGTAACAAAAGATTTATCTCTTGGACAAAACTGCAGCTGTAATAGTGAAATGTGGCATGGCAGCTGCTGGTACATTTTGGTTTACAAGGTACAACTCGATTTGTGCAGGTGAAGCACCTAGGACCTTAAGCCAGAACCTCCT